CATTGCCTTTGGGGTCGGGACAGGAAGGTGGGCAGGGATGGGACAAACGCCCCGTCTTGTAGCCCAGAGTGGCTGTTAAGGGTCTCTTCCAAAGGTTTTCTTGCCAAACTCAGGAACACTGGCTTTTATTCACCAAGGTCTGAAGTTAATGTCCCCTGACACCTGCAGGTATCCTGGCTGCAGTGTGGTCTAAAAATTGAGGCAAACACTCTCCAACACCCTTGCACACACCCACCCCCCGGCACACACACACCTGCACACCCGGCTTTGTCCCCATGTGCTGCTGTGACAAAATACCTGAGACAGCATCATTTTAAAGAACAGAAACTTATCTCTTGCCGTTCGGGAGGCTGGAAGTGTAAGATTCAGAAGCCAGCAGGTCTGCTGTGTGGTCAGGGCTACGCTCAGCTTCCAAGGTGGCATCTTTCTGCTGCATCCTGTGGAGGGGACGGAGGTGCCCTCACGTGGAGGGGTGGGAGGGTGAGAGGACCCTGCCACCTGAGGTCTGGTCCGCGAGGACAGTCACAGGCTAACCCCTCCTAACACCATCACAGGGGCCACGGTCAACCCCTAAATTTTGGTGGAGACGAAAACCACAACACACTCACACACCCCCACTGCTCACACCATACACCAGGCAATGGCACATCCACACAGCGATACCTGCACCCCATATACACCTGCACACCCCGTACCTGCACCCCATATACACCTGCACACCCCCATATCTACACCCCAAACACACCTCCACAGCCTCATACCTGTACCTCACATACACCTGCAGACCTCCATACCTGCACCCCATATACACCTGCACACCCCATACCTGCACCCCATATACACCTGCACACCCCATATACACCTGCACACTCCCATACCTGCACCCCATATATACCTGCACACCCCATACCTGCACCCCATATACACCTGCACACCCCCATATCTACACCCCAAACATACCTCCACAGCCTCATACCTGTACCTCATATACACCTGCAGACCTCCATACCTGCACCCCACATACACCTGCACACCCCCGTACCTGCACCCCACGTACACCTGCACACCCCCGTACCTGCACCCCACGTACACCTGCACACCCCCGTACCTGCACCCCAAACACACCTGCACACATCCCCACCTGCACCTGCACCCCGTCCACACCACACACACCCCGTCCACGCCTGCACAACCCCCCTCACTTGTACCCATCCACACCTGCACACACATCCCCACCTGCAGCCCATGCACACTTGCACCCCCGCCCACAATCTGAGGGCCTCGGAGGAGACCCTGTGCCCCTCCTCTGCCTCCAGATTCAGAACAGGAAGCTATGAGCTTGGAGAGGACTGACAAGGGTCCAAGGTTCACAGCTGGTGGGGCAGGCTCAGCCACACTCCGAGGGCCTAGGGTAGCTCTGGGTGACGGGGCATCTGCCTCAGTTTCCACATCTGCAACAAAGCCCTGAAGGCACGGCAGGGTGAGCAGATGCCGCGTCCCACACAGCAGGTCCCACCACCCTCCTTCTTACTGCTTCCTGGCTGAGACACGCACAAGCTCGCAGGGCCCTGGCTGAGGGTGCACAGCTGCGGGCCCTCACGTCCCAGTCTGCAGGTGGGGGTGAACAGCTGCGGGCCCTCACGTCCCAGTCTGCAGGTGGGGGTGCATGGCTGCGGGCCCTCACACCCCAGTCTCCAGGTGGGGGTGCATGGCTACGGGCCCTCACATCCCAGTCTGCAGGTGGGGGTGCACGGCTGCGGGCCCTCACACCCCAGTCTGCAGGTGAGGGTGCACAGCTGCAGGCCCTCACGTCCCAGTCTGCAGGTGGAGGTGAACAGCTGCGGGCAGTCACGTCCCAGTCTGCAGGCGGGGGTGCACGGCTGCGGGCCCTCACGCCCATGTGCAGGTGGGGGTACACGGCTATGGGCCCTCATGCCCCAGGCTGCAGGTGAGGGTGCACAGCTGCAGGCCCTCACGTCCCAGTCTGCCGGTGGGGGTGCACGGCTGCGGGCCCTCACCCCCGTCTGCAGGTGGCCCGTCACTGCCGCCCTCTACTCCCAGTTGCCTCCCTGTCCCCTGCCCAGGTTCTGCCCAGGGAGCTGGGGTGGCAGCGGTGGTGGCTGCCCCCAACCTGCACGAGGAGAGTTGGAGCCACACCCCCAGCTGCCCCCCAGGCTCAGACACAGCCATGTCTGCGGGGCCTACCTGAAAAGCTCGTGTCCTGTCAGAGACACAGGTATGGCGGTCTGTTCACCTCCCCCCGTCTTCTGGCCTCAACATGAGATGGCCACCACAGCAGCAGCAACTGCGTGACCACGAGGGAAGGGTCCAGGGACCAGAGAGATGCTGAGCTCAGGGAGGGCCCCAGCCCCTACTCCCTCCACCGTGGCAGCTCTGCACCCTGGCACACGGGCCTGGGGACACCCAAAGGTGGTATATCCACAAAAGAGGGAAGGGGCCCACGGGCTGCCAGCAGGAGCAGAGGCTGCTGGAATCCTGGGAGGCCATGCATGGCCCCCCTGGAAGCTCTGGCCACCACCAGGGCCCTCTAAGTCAGGCAGGTCAGCTGGCCAGGGTCGCCTGCTTCTGTGCAGCCCGCGAGTGGGAGGAGCCCTGGCCTCTACACCCCACTCCCACCTCCCGACCCAAGGGGTCATCGGCCTGTAGGCCTCTTCCAAGATGCCCCCTCACCGCACACTCACTCAAACAGAAGCCTGCCACGACTTGGCCACGTGGCCTACTGCCCAGTGCCCCTACTGGGACCCTGTGGACCAACAATGCCACCCGGAGGGACAGCCAGTGCCCGGGGCCTCAGGGAGCAGGAACAAGAGCCAGACCACCGGGAAGGGGGCAGGGTTGCTGCCTCCCGTGGCTCAGCAGCGCCTGTGGGCTGTACCTGACTTCCCCCAGAAACTGCTTCAGAGCGAGCCAAGAGCCAGAGGACGGCCGCCCACGCCTGCCCCACCACGAGGCCAGCTGTGTCACCTCAGTGCAGGCTTCTTTGTGCTGCTGTGATGGAATGCCGGAGACCGGGTAACTTGAGAGAAACAAGGTTTATTTGGCTCATGGTCCTGGAGCTGGAAAGTTGAAGCCAGGGTCCTAGCATACGGCGAGGGCTCCTCCACTCAGCAGGTATGGAGGGGTACTCAGAGCTTGGATGGAGGAAGCCGGTTCCACAGCAACCTGCTCTCAGCAGCCAAGTTGTTCCTGAGCCCAAGCTCCCCGAGGCCACACCCTGGGGCCTGTCTGTGGGAAGCGTCTGTCCCGTTAGCCCAAGCTCCCCGAGGCCGTACCCCGGGACCCGTCTGTGGGAAGCGTCTGTCCCGTTAGCACAAGCTCCCCGAGGCCGTACCCCGGGACCCGTCTGTGGGAAGCGTCTGTCCCGTTAGCACAAGCTCCCCGAGGCCTGTCTGTGGGAAGCATCTGTCCCGTTAGCACAAGCTCCCCGAGGCCGTACCCCGGGACTCGTCTGTGGGAAGCGTCTGTCCTGTTAGCCCAAGCTCCCCGAGGCCACACCCCGGGACCCGTCTGTGGGAAGCGTCTGTCCTGTTGAGGGAATCCTGGCCTCTGGAGCCCTGGTGGAAGAGGGCATGGCACACCACCCCACCAAGCTTGGGACTCCAGATGCTGCCTTTCGCAGCCTCCGTGCAGCCAGGGCACCCTCCCAGAATTGGGGTGGGGTGCAGAGCCTGCAGGCAGGCAGCTGCAGGAACGGTGCATGTGGCAGCATCCAGGGCCAGGATGGTGGTTGCAGCTCTGCCGATGCCCACGGGCCTGCTTCCTGCACAGCCCAGGCTCTGCCCGATGTCTGCGCCGTGTTCACAAACTCTTCCTGTGAATCAGTTGCTGTGGCTTCCTCATGCTGTCCAGAGGCAACGCCTTCGCATCCCCTTCCACCAGGCCCAGGAGAGACTTGAGAACCCTTACCCAGGCCACACAGAGCACCGGCCACCCTGCTCGCCACTGTCAATGGCCAGCGAGGGTCAGCCCCGTGGCCGCATGTTGTCAGAGCCCAGCCACTGCACGCTGGACATGGCCCCCAGAGCTTTTTCAGTCACAAATGCCTGTGTTCCCAGGATGATCGAGCTCCCATCTGTGCCCGGCCTCTAGAAGGTGTGGCTTCTTCACTTGGTCCTGGAGCAGGGCATCCTGCAGGAGGTGCTGCTGGGTGCACAGGAGCACCAACGTCCTGTGGGCATGACAGCGGAGCCGGAGGACCACCCCCAGCTGGCGGACGCAGCGCCCTCGTGTGCAGGGAGCAGTCAGGTGTGCTTCAGCGCTGCCTTGTGACTGGGGGCTGTGCTTAGGATATTTCGCAGAGATTAATATAAACGGGCACCCAGTAAACACACCCAGTTAGAAAACATGTTATGGACATGGAACCTCCACGGTAACGGGCAGGCAGGGCACACTCCTTTCTCAGGCTCACCGGTTACACAGAAAACTGGGGAGCAACCCTCACCCCAGCCTGGCCCCGTGCTCCCCACTGGCCTCTGCACGGCCTGCCTGGGAAACACACGCTATGCCAGGAACACAGGACTGACATGGAATGAGGCCAGACACACCAATGCCTGTGCCTCCCAAGACTGACCCCAGAACAGTGGTGTCTACAATGGCAGAAACTAGGGCTGGACCCGCACATGATGCTCAGACAGACCGCAGGCAGCTCTGCAGCCCAGACACGCCTTTCACGTGTGACTCCACTGCTCAGGGTTCATGGGGCTGTGGACAGGGACTCTCTGTAGCCTGGACACACCTTTCATGTGTGACTCCAGTCAGGGCTCACGGGGCCGTGGACAGGGACTCTCTGCAGCCTGACCACGGGTTCACGGGGCTGTG